TTTTTCAAATCTGATAAAAGCATCGATTTGCTGTATCAAAACAGGGAAATAAACGGGAATATTTTTTTACCAGAGAAGGATTGAAGATAAAAAACATTAAATTTTTTATTCTTCTCTATTTTGATCCTTATTTAGAAATTCTATAATTTTGAAGTATCTTTTTTACATAATTCAGGAGTTGTAGCGTAACAAGATAATTTAGCATAAAAGGGGATCATAGGGGTTAAGGGTGGGGGGGGNCCAAGGAATATCACGAAATCGTAAATACCTTTTTACATGAGGGCAGGGTGAGGTGAAGCGTCTAAATACTTGGCAATTTATTGGTTTTCAAACCTCTTAAACTCCCATCCGTTTTGAAAAAAGGTTCAATAACATGTTTTTTTAGAAAGGATGGGGGGGGGAGGTTGCATACATGCATGGATGGATATGTGTCAGAAAAATTTTGTTAACCTGGAAAATGTTGAAAGTGGAACCTTTTCAAAACTTCGTGGATCAAGTTCGGATCAAATTTAACTTAAACTCAACAAATACACTCAGGGGCGGACATAAGGATTCTGTAGTAGGGGGGGGGTAAATATTTTTTTACACTTTTTAAGAAATGAAAGATTATTATAAAATTTGTTTCTAAAATCCAAAATTTAAATATATGTAAATGAATAAAGATTATGTTTGTTTCGAAACTTTTAAATCGTAAGCAAATAATCCCATGCTTCGAAACTGCAAATTTGCGTGTTTCGATTTTCAAAACTTCATAAATCGGAAGTAAACTAACCATTTGTTTCGAACCTGGAATTATCTTAAGAAAACAGCCTCTATTCATGATTTAAGAATCTTTTTACCGAAAGCCAAACCTACGTTTGTTTCAAAGCTGCAATATAACGGAAGTAAATTATTTTTACACGTGGTTTTGAAAAAAAAGAAAAAAAAACAATATTTGTTTCGATCTGCTCCTTATTCTCGTTTCGAAACTTTATACAACGGAGTAAAATACCCCATGTTATTCGAAACCGCATATTTATCGGAAGAAGACTAGCACTGCATGTTTGTTGTGAAACTAGCAATACGGAAGCAAACAAACTCTTATTTAAGTTTCAAAATTGGAATTATTGGAAGCAAATCATTCTTTTTTTTCTTTGGAAACTGGATTTATTAGATTAAAAAACTCCTTTTTTGTTTGGAAACTAAGTTTATATATTGGAATCAAACAACTCCTTTTTTTGTTTGGAATCTAAATTTATATATTGGAATCAAACAACTCCTTTTTTTGTTTGGAATCTAAATTTATATATTGGAATCAAACAACTCCTTTTTTGTTTGGAAACTAAAGTTATATATTGGAATCAAACAAACTCTATTTTTGTTTCGAAACTGGAATTAATACAAATGGAAGCAAACAACTCCTATTTTTGATTCGAAACTGCATATATCGGTAAATCGGAAGCATACATCCACAATGGTTTCGAACCTCCATACATCAGAAGCAAACAAGCCCTTTACTTATAAAGTCGAAAGTGAACATTCCGATTGTTTTGCCGGAATCAACAATACAACATATTTTCGAAAGTCCCTGTATCGGAAGTGGTGGTATCCCTGACCGTGGTTTGTATACTACACGCTATGCGGCTTCACTAATTGTTTTAATGACAGGTTCGGGAGGAAAATTTGAATCTTCATGACGGGAATACTCGCCACATTTCTCACACGTCACACGCTCTACACTCTACACGTCAAACTAAAATAAACATCACGTAAGATTAAATTCTTTAATGTTTTGAATTTCTAATATGTATTCGATAAATTTGCTTCTCATATTTCTGTGCAAAATCCAACGATAATATATATATAGATATGCAGGCAGGTAGAAACCTCCTTCCTAAATTGCCTGTAGCAGACAACTAATTTTTGAACCTCTGAAAAAATGTGCACAAAGAGACATCTATAGCAAATTGATTACTTTCTATATGCCTTTCTCCCCTTTCTGCTATCTGTAGGAAATACGCATTTGTGTTATATAAACATACAGTACGCGTATTGCATCCTGTATAGTTCAAGTGTTGCTATCTGGANTTTTTCCTTTTTACAATATTTCACTTTTTTCTACGAACAGAATGCGAAAAATTTCGAGATTTTTGGCAAAAAAATGTTTGCGAAAAATGCGAAATTTTCACGAAACGATATCCTCATTTCGTTGGAAACCATACATAAGACTAGTTTAGACTCGTTTATCACCTCCCCCCCCTTCCCGTCTTAATATTTGTTTATATTTTTAATTATTTAATACAAATATTTAAACTTTTAAAACTTTGTTTTTAAATTTAAAAACTAACTTAGTCCTTTAACCCCCTCCCCTTGCTTTATCTTCCTGCAAATATTTGAACTTTTTAAAAAATTTCTGCACTCGGCACAGTTTTAAAAGGTTTCTAATTATTTCATATTTACGCTGTAAACCTGAGTATTGAGTTCTAGGAAGACAGGTTTGATGGAAGGTTCAACCTGCAGGCTGTCTCAATGATAAATGTGCGAGTGAGTCCCAGTGAGTCTCTGGTTCCTCAGTGTCCCAGTTGTAAAATGTCCCATTGCTTCAATCTTCAAGAGTCATCGTGTTTTTGTTTTACAGTGCTCAAAATTACGGTGTCAGAGTCAAAGAGTTCTAAGGTTGCAAGATCAATTTAAAGCGTCAAAAATTCCATAGGTCAAAGTGTCCAACAATCAAAGTGTCCAAGAGTCACACTGTCCAAAAGTCACAGTGTCCAAGAGCCACAGTGTTCAAGAGTCACAGTGTCCAAGAGCCACAGTGTCCAAAAGTCACACTGTCCAAGAGTCACAGTGTCCAGGAGTCACAGTGTCCAAGAGCCACAGTGTTCAAGAGTCAATGTGTCCAAGAGTCACAGTACCCATAGTATAGTCCCAATTTTCTAAAAAGCTCTTTTTATAGTGTCTTAACTACAGCTCTTTTTAAACCAGTGTTTAAAGTGTTCTTTGCCCCCTGTATGGTGGTTTTTAAAAAAAAGAGAACGTTCTACACCCTGTATATTTTAGTTCTGGTTCACCCTGTATGGTTTAGTTCTGGTCCACCCTGTATGGTTTAGTTCTGGTTCACCCTGTATATTTTAGTTCTGGTTCACCCTGTATGGTTTAGTTCTGGTCCACCCTGTATGGTTTAGTTCTGGTTCACCCTGTATGGTTAAGTTCTGGTTCACCCTGCATGGTTTAGTTCTGGTCCACCCTGTATGGTTTAGTTCTGGTCCACCCTGTATGGTTTAGTTCTGGTCCACCCTGTATGGAGTGAAGAGGTGCAAGGAAGAGTAATAAACTATTTTTAACCCAGAGCTGAAGCTGAGCAAAAACTAATCTCAGGTTGGAAACATTTATCATGATAAATATAAACAGAACGTTTCCTTCGTCCCTGTCATTTTTCCCTTGGATTTCATATAAATGAACTAATTACTTTTCTAATCCTTATATCTTTTCAACGCTTAAGTCAGAAGTGTTGTGTTGTACGAAACTGAGAGAGGAGGTCTAATTAATGAGACATCACAGATACGACTTTGTAACATCGTAGCTCTCATTTTGGTTTTACACCCAGGTATGAAAACAACAAACTTGTTTGTTAACATATATTATAGATTAAAACATGTAATAAATAAAGCAATAACCCCCATATCATGAAAACCTGAACCATCCTTTATAAATAGTAATAGCTCTAATTAACATCTCTTGTATATATAACTATGTTCGTTAATCTCTGAATAGACCTATCGGTCTATTACATTTTTACCTGTATCATTAAACCCAAAATATAGTTAGTTGAATTTTAATACTGTTTCATTACGTTCAGACGTATTAATAATCAGTAGAGAGTATACAGTTCGAGAGCGAGTTGTATCTAGATTGATACATACTTAAGAATACAGAGAGAGCTGTATCTGGATTGATACAGCCTAAAGTATTGTTGTAGTAAGGCATTAGTTGCAATGATTTTCTTTTACTATAGCTCTTTAATAAGAAGAATTATTATTGATAAAATATAAGATTTTAATCTTACGTACAATTTACATTGGTTAGTCGTGCCATCTTATGCAGACTTACGGAATGATTTTTATCCTCTTGTCTTTCCCATTAGGGATAACATTAATTGAGAGATCTAGCATTGATTATAAAGTTTCAGAGAGCCCACATTGGATATAGAGATCAAGCGTTCACGATACTAGACACAGAAGTTCCGACTTCTCTCGTGGATTTTATATTTCAGACTTTAAATGATGTTAAATTCAAATTGTCTAAAGGTTTACACCGTTAGGTTGCAAAAATACTGAATACTAGGAATAAACTCTTTTTCTGCCCGAGAGATAAACTCATATAACTTTTTACCAGACTATATAAAGGAGTCAAAATCCATAAACATCTTCAAGGAGTTGAATAACAGTTATGATGCACATGTTTAAAATGTCGAGAATATATTGTGGGAAAAGTTCTATTACCAAAAATGATATCTATGCAAAACCAAAACAATTTCTATATTAAATAACAAAATAACAAAATAACAAAATACAAGGATTGGAAAAATAGAGTTTGAGGAGAGTAATCAGTTCGTTAGAAGATTTTATTCACTACTTTACTTTAGAACTTTGCCTATTTTTATCATATATTTACATTCTTTTTTTTTCTTTTTTTTTACTTCTCGCAGATGATGTTTCTTTGTACCATCTATTTATTATTTCTTTATATTTACTTTTTAGAAATTTCTTTCTTGTGTCATATTTTTTAACTTGTGTTCTTCTAATGTCTCCTTTTTTCGCATTTTTTCATTAATCGAAAGCTTTTTTTGTAAGATTTCTCCTATTCCTATTATCATTTTTTGTAAAATATTCAATACCATAAGAATATTCTATTTCGACTTTTTATTATTAGTTTTTGCCACAAGTGTGTTTCCTTCTCTCCATAGATATTCAAATTCTAAGACAGATCATGAAAATAGTAAAATTTTACTACTTTACAACTTTTCATTGCTTAATTTTTATTTCTCCAATAATACATATAATTATAATTACTGAAATTAACTAGAACTTTTACAACAGGCCTCGTATAATTTTAACAAATGACTAAATTAGACTTAAACTTGAAAAAAAGTTGTACCTATTCCAAACTTTAAGCTGCTGGGGGCCAGGAAACTTTCTTTCTAATAAATTTCAAGAAAAATTCTCCAGCCAGAAAAGCAACAGCAAAAAAAGCAGTGTTTATTTTAAAATTGTTTAAAATATTTTCTTTATTAGAAAACTTGTATTGTTGCGAACACTGCAAGGAAATAAAATTATGAGTATATGGCACTATTTTATGCTGTCGAAAACAAAATAAAAAAGCTGGTTTAAAAATGCTTGAGTATTAAGCTGGTATTCATCGTTTTCTTATCGTAGAACTTTCATTCTCCGCATCAATCAATTTTGTTCTTTTCAAGTTTATTTTGTCCTTTTTCTTCGGATTTACCAAACTCCGATCCCTTCCTCTATATTTTGGTTTGAAAAGGCAACATGACTTCCTGAAAAAAAAATATTATGAAACTATTAAAAGAAGTTTTTAACACACAATTTTATCATTTTTTTAAGCATTTTATATCATTTAAAATTTAACATTTTGTAAAAAGTATTAGAAACTTTTTTAGATTCTATAAATAGAGCATTTTGGGCTTTCCAAAATAGTAACAGGTTACATTTAGGGGGGGGGGGGTAATTCAAGCAAAAACAGCTGGTTTAAAGTATATAAGCAATAATAAAAAACAATGCAAATTGTTAAATTTTTATGCAAACTCAATGAATGATGTTTCTGATTTTATTAATGGGGGGGGGGTTTCTCCCCCCTCTCCTCCTCAATTGACCTCGGATAATGAAGTACCTGGTCTAGAGCCCGGCCTCGGACTCCTTAAACTCTCTGGGGTCGAGGATGGTGGAGGTCGTGCCAAGGGTCCCTCCCCTCTGGAGAAAGGGATGAGATGGTTGAAGGTGTCCCTGGGTGGGGGCCCCTGATTAAACTCCCCTATCAGGGGCGGTAAAGTAGGAATATTCATTGGTAAAGGCTGCTCCATTCCCGGCCCTGGAATATATCAGTTAAGAAAAAGGACTTAAAGGGTTTATCAATTAATCCTCCAATGAAAGAGTGCCATGCATGATTAACAACGGTACCCTTTAAACCTTTATCTGAAAAATAATGTGGAAGGTATTGTCGTTTTTCTAGCTTGAAAACTGTTTAATTTTCACAATTTACTCAATTGTTTCTGTAGTATAAATCTGCAAGTCAGTTTTACAAAAAATAAACAATTGAAACTGGCCAATGTTTAAAAAGAAAAAAATGCATATCTCATAAGTTCTAAATCAGACAAAGCTATTATGTCTACTGTTGTGAATCGGACATGCTACTCTATAAACTAAAGGTTACTTAATTTTAAATCTGCATTCCCTTAAAGAAGATACAATCTTCTGATCATCGCAAAATTTGACAAACTTCAAAATTGTATTTTTTAAAGATTTGCTATTTACTAAGGCACTATAAATAGGAATGGAGAATAATCAGATTCGTTTTACAGAAACTTTTAATGTTTTTAGACTTTTAAAAGGTTTTACGACAATATGAGAAGGTTCCAACATTTTAATACTTTATTTTGTAGAAGTTTGCTTTTACAATGAGATATGCCACTCTATAAATTAAAGAACACTAGGCTTACAATCTTTTGACTAAAATCTGCAGCCGCAGTTTGATAATTTCAAAATTTAACATGATTCTTTAAAGATTTCCTATTTATTAAGACACATTGAAAAGTGTTGGCTTTGAAAAAAGTTAAAAAGATAAATGACAGAAATTGAAATTTTTCCAAAAAAGTTTAAGTTAATTATTAACCTTTCAAGCCTTTTTTTAGAGTTAAAATTTGGCAAATTTTCACAAACAAACGCAAATTTCAAAATCTGTAATTTTGGACACCCGTCCGGTCTCCATTTTAAATATGCTTTAAAGTTTGACCAGGATTGAATGCAGTTCTACATAAATATAAATTATTAACCTGTTAGACCCAAGTTATATTAAGAGAAAGCATATTCTATTAATTATTCAAATTTTAATCTAGTTCTGTTGGTTTAATCCTGCTTTGCGTGCAGCGCAAAATGTGCAAATTAGAATTTTTTTAAATTTTATTTTTCTATACATGTTCATTAATACAACTGAGAATTAAGATTAAGTTCCAGTATAGAGGACGTGAGTCAGACTCTAATAAAAACGCCTAAATAACTTCCAGTATATATATTTCTTATAACTTATTACTAGAGGGTTCAGAAACTAGAGTCAATATCGATATCACATGTGTAGATGTTTTATCAGTACTACGCCCCGTATCCGTTCTATCTCATTCCGTTGAATCTTGTGGAACTTGTTTAACGCGGCCAGGCATCGTCTTCCACACCAGTATATTTCATGTTTATTTTTTGACCCTTTTATAAAGAATTGAAACAGAGAAGATGAAAATAAACTTAGAAACTGCCACAAATTCTGATTTTCTAATCCCTATATCTTTGCAACCCAACGTTAGAAAAATAAATCTTCGTTATAGAATATCAAAAATTTACAACATCTGGTTTCAAAAATATTAGAAAATTTAAGTTTGTGGCAAAATCCCTCTTTAAAACTTACTTCCAATATAATTCTAACATGATAAGGAAGCAAAAACTGCGTAGAAATAAGTTTCACATTTAGCTCCATAACTTGTAACAAAGAAACCTCCCTCCCCCTCCTATGTGTTGAGGTTAACCCCGCCCTTAACCCTGTAGTATATGGAGCATAAATCTTGTGTATAGTGTTGAATAGAAAGAGTAGAACACAGATTCATCAGTGAAGACAGTGTAATTATTGGGAACATGGGTCTAGTTCCTTCTTTAGACAGGGTTATATTATACGATTATACAGGGGTGTATATTTTCTGGAAAACTCTTTTCTCCCCCCCCCCTTTATTTATATATATATATATCCACGCGCGGAGGGGAAATTTTTGTTTAGGATTTTATTTGCTGAATTGGGAAAAATAGATTAATTTTTCATTTTTCCTTCAATTTTCATTTGAAAGGGTTGTACTGTGGCATAAATATATACAAAAATTTATTTATACTTATATATATATGTACAAAAAACGGGAATAGATTTGTTCTACAACAATTTTGTAAATAGAAAAAAACGCAATTTTTTTTTCTTCAGAAATCGATTACAAGATTTGTATGCTGTTTTACTCCAAACTTTTATAGAAGAGTTTTCAGAAAAAATATCTGTTTTTCTATTCTTCAAGGTTTACAAAGATGGCAGGATGAAATTTTTTTTCTCAAACGATTTTGTTAATTTGGATCTTTTAACATAAATGTTTTGAGGATTTTTTTGTTTATGCTTTCTGAAAATCATATTCTAATATTTTAAGCGTAATAAATGAAACCTTCAAAGAAACGAAAAAGAATTTACGCCAGGGTACTTATATATATGCTAGGCTTTTAAGGCGCTTCGCGCCCGTCTTGTATTTTTATTGTGAACATTTTTTCTTTGTAGAAATTGTAAAACAAAACCAAACAAAATAAGCGGAGTTTTACAAAAGAAAATTCCTGGATTTTCAAAATTTAATGCAAATCGAAATTTTGTTGGAAGCAAATTTTTGAAAATTGAATCATTTATAGATGTGGAACCGATCGGTTCAGTCGTTTTGACGTTTATTGGATACAAACAAACCGACAAACACACAAGCAAAGTATAAAGTTAGATATATATAGTCAAAATTAACACTTACCCATATTATTAAAGCTCAAATTAGGTCCCCCTGGGAATCCAGGCCCCCCAGTGAAAAAATCAGGTGGATATCGTCCATAGTCCGGTCCCATTCCGTCATAGAAAAATTGTCCGTCGTCCATTCCTGGTGGACCGAGGCCAAATCCTCGAATTCGCTTTCCTCCGACGAAAAATCCTCCACCTCGTCCGGCCAATTGTTTCATTCGTCGCTCTTTACTCCGCTTGTTTTGGAACCAAACCTTGAAAAAAACTTTATCAAATACATCCACAATTCACAGCTTTCACAAATTAGACAGAAGTAAAGCACGTTTCAGAGCGATCTACATAGTTATGAAAAGGAATTGAGTCTTTGCCACAAACTCAAATTTTCTAATTCCTATATCTTCCCAACCTGATCTTGTAAACCTTTGATATTTCAAACTTAGATTATTTGATCTAACAGAATTTATAGTTTGGAATTGGGTTGCAGAGATATTAGGATTAGAAAATAAGAGCTTGTGGCAAAAACTCAGTTTCTTTTGCACCAATTGAAGTGTTACAAGGCGTTTGCACTTTGTTTAACCGAACCAGCCCACTAATACTTTTTGCAACAAGGGTTACAACAATTCAATTCAAACTTCAAATATATTTAAGGACTACAGAGTAGACTGTTATTATCGGTCTTTGAGGGTAGCCTTGTATCAAGCCAGATTTCAGCTTCTTTTCGTAGATTTTGCGAGTTAAATTTGTCTGGGTTTTTAGATTGGGGTTGGATAAAGGTGTATTAGAGCTGTTGGGGATTTAGAGGGGGAATTAAGAAAAGCATCGTGGTGAATCCAGGGGTAGGGGAAACCGAGATTCTTTTAATGAGTAAACAAGGGGGAAATAGTTTTCCCAAACCATAATGTTCACAAATTTTCTATATTACAATATATTTTTTTAATTAAAAAGATTGATGTTGAAAAAAAGCTTGCGGCGTGCAGAAAGAGTACCAAGCGGACTGGGGGTGGCGGGGGGGGGGGGGATTATAAATCTTAACAGATGGTAAAACTCATTATAAAGCTATATTAACACAACTCACCCAGATTTAACACAGAAATTAGAAAAAAGATGGCGTTAGGATCAATTTCCGCTCGCAGCGGGATACAACCATAGATTGGATATTTTATATCTTTATAAAGGATTGAATTGGTTTAAAGAAACATGGAAACATGACTTCTTCATTTGTTAATACAAAAAAAACAAGGGATTGAATTTCTTTCTTTTTTCCATATTTTATTTAACTTTAATGATCAAAAGTAAAAACTTTTGATTTTTTAAAAAAATATAAAGTTTTTTTTCATCAGCTAAGACTTGCAGCTAACACAATGAGTAATAATTGCCCTAACAGCGGATTATTTTAAATCTAGTTTTGCGGAATATTTTAGATCTTGTTTGGCGAATTTTTTTAAAATCTACTTTTTGAATTTTTTAAATCTTGTTTCGTGGATTTTTACCTGAATAACTCTCATTGGTAAACCAGTCTCTTTCGCTAGCTGCTCTCTAAAGGTTACAAAATTCCAATATTTTTGTCTTTATGCTTTATTATGTAATAACATTTTTTTCAAACTTAGATTTCTTATTCTAAAATTTGAATTGTATATTCCTTATGTGTCGTGTTGGTTTAGGAGTCTGATTAAAAGCTGTTTTCAGAACTTCCAGCTGTTTAGCTTTTATTGTTGTTCTAGGTCCTCTTCGTTTACCCCCAGATCCATCTTCTTTATATCCTTTCTCATCATCACCATCTACATCACCGTTCATTGATCCTAGATATAGGAGGAGGTTTACGCTAGGTCAATAGGTCTAGGTCTAGGTCTAGGTCTAGGTCTAGGTCAAGGTCAAGGTCAAGGTCTAGGTCTAGGTCTAGGTCTAGGTCTAGTTCTAGGTTAAGGTCTAGGTCTAGGTCAAGGTCTAGGTCAAGGTCTAGGTCTAGGTCTAGGTCTAGGTCTAGGTCTAGGTCTAGGTCTAGGTCTATGTCACAGTCTAGGTCACAGTCTAGGTCTAGGTCTAAGTCTAGGTCTAGGTCTAGGTCTAGGTCTAGGTCTAGGTCTAGGTCTAGTTCTAGTTCTAGGTATTTCTAACCTTCTGAATCATTAAGATCTCTCTCTGTTGAAGAATCAATGAGAGAAGGAGTTTTGTTGAGGTTAGAGGTTGGAGACCCTAGGTCAAGCTTCCGAGGTTCCACATATCCGTCCTCATCCTCATCCTCATCCAGTTCATCCTCGTCATATCCAACATCTATACAAATACATATCTTATTTTCATGGTAAAATATGCGAACATTTTTTTATTTTTGACAACTAGACAATTAGATAGCTGGACAGCTAGACAACTTGACAGATCGACAGATAGACAGCTAGATAGACAGCTATACCATTAAAAACTAGACAGAAAAAAATCTAAACAACTAAATGACTAGTAGACAGGTAGACAATTAGACAGTCAGACAAATAGCCATCAAGACAACTAGAAAGTTAGACAGCTAGACAGCTAGACAGTTATACAGCTAGACAGTTAGACAGCTAGACAGTTATACAAGTAGACAGTTAGACAGCTAGACAGTTATACAGCTAGACAGTTATACAGCTAGACAGTTAGACAGCTAGACAGTTAGACAGCTAGACAGTAAGACAGCTAGACATTTAGACAGCTAGCCAGTTAGAAAGCTATACAATTAGACAGCTAGACAGTTAGACAGCTAGAAAGCTAGACAACTAAACAACAAGACAGCTAGACAGCTAGACAGCTAGACAGCTAATTATTGTTATGCTAGAACGTATTCTCGCCTAAACCTGCTCCGGGTACAGGTTTCATTACAAGATAAGATCTAGCGAGTGCTTCCCCCAACACGGTGAACAAAAACTAATGAGTTTTAAGAAAGAGGAGTTTGGTGGTAGTTCAGCCCACCCTGAATCCTCCCCACCTATTGTTTTCCTTCGTGTGTGTAAGTGTTCGTGAACTCAAGTGTGTGTGTTACTTAAATGCATATATTGGCAATCTACGTAAAGAAAAGAAATCTTGTCCTGCGTGTAATATTTTTATGTATGTATATATATATATATAGTGCTACTATTCAAACCTATTTAACACTAGCTACATCAACATCAAAACTATCATATTAAGAAATGGTGATCCTCTCTGTCAAGTTATGTTTATTTTTCAATTGTTTTCTAAAGTATGCAGTCTATCTTTAAAGGAAGTTAACACTCGCCCCATACTCTAATTTTCTAATCTCTGTATCTTCTCTAAACTTTTAATATTTCAAGGTTGACCATTTAATCCAGCAAAATTCATAGTTTGACATGTCAAAGGTCTACGACACATCAGGTTGCAAAGATATAAGGATTAGAAAATTGGACTAAACCTAACGGGCCAAAACTCATAAAATTTTAATATTGTTAAATGTTAGACCAAAACTCGATTTAATTCAAATTAAAGAAACCGAACACATCTCGCCATGGTTAGTCCAGGGTGGGATGTGTGTATGTCCGTATATGTATATTCTAGTCCACCAAGGAGTCAAACATGTTAAATCCAGGGTGTGATGTGTGTATGTCCGTATATGTATATTCTAGTCCACCAAGGAGCCAAACATGTTAAGTCCAGGGTGTGATGTGTGTACTGTGTATGTCTGTATATGTATATTCTAGTCCACCAAGGAGGCAAACATGTTAAGTCCAGGGTGGAATGTATGTCCGTATACGTGTATATTCTAGCCCACCAAAGAGCCAAACATGAATTATTTCTTGTTTTCTAAATTTTAATTCATTTCTTGAGTTGGAGCTCCCTAAACCTCCCAACAGCACGATTTTTCAATGAACTAAACCCAACCAATTACAGGGAGCAAGCAGCAAAAACTCTGGGAACAAGGTTCGAACCACGGATAGATAGATAGATAGATAGATAGATAGATAGATAGATAGATAGATAGATATATAGGTAGAATGACTTATCAATGATTGATCAATGACTGATCAATGATTGATCAATGATTGATCAATGATTGATCAATGACTGATCATTGAATTATCAATGACTGATCAATTATTGATCAATTATTGATCAATGACGGATCAATGTCTGATCAATGATTGATCAATGACTGATCAATGATTGATCAATGACTGATTAGTGATTGATCAATAACTGATCAGTGACTGATCGATGACTGATAAATGATTGATCAATTACCGTTTCTCTGTAGATAATCTTGTTTACAAACAAACTTGTCATCATTGACCACGTACAGTTCTTCTCCTGTCAGCAGCTGTTTTCTAAACAAGAACAAGGGTATTTATTGTCAACATTAATTATGTAAATCCTTCTATGTCAATTTTTAGTTTTATCAAAAATATTTTCAGAATTTTTTTGAATTTGAAACATAATTTTCAATGAAAAAGTAAAATAAAGAATTATAGACCAATACGTGAGTAAATCATATGGTGTCAATAAATTGTTTAATCAAAAATTTAATGATGTTTTTTTTTTAATTTTCAAGAACAGGCTTAAAAATCCTAAGACTTGCTGAATTGGATAGGTGAACTTTAATTTTAATACATTTAAAATTCAACAAAATAAAAAAAAGTTAATATCTGTTAAAACAAATTGATAGATTTGCGATATTCATAATTCTGTCATTTATAAAATTTGTGTGTTATATAAACGATAAAAAATGTTCTTAAATCGAGGAAACGCGATAAAAAATGTTCTTAAATCGAGGAAACACGATAAAAAGTGTTCTTAAATCGAGGAAACACGATAAAAAATAAATGTTCTTAAATCGAGGAAACACGATAAAAATGTTCTTAAATCGAGGAAACACGATAAAAAATGTTCTTAAATCGAGGAAACACGATAAAAAATGTTCTTAAATCGAGGAAACACGATAAAAAATGTTCTTAAATCGAGGAAACATGATAAAAAATGTTCTTAAATCGAGGAAACACGATAAAAAATGTTCTTAAACCGAGGAAACGCGATAGAAAAATGATCTTAAATCGAGGAAACACGATAAAAAGTGTTCTTAAATCGAGGAAACACGATAAAAAATAAATGTTCTTAAATCGAGGAAACACGATAAAAAATGTTCTTAAATCGAGGAAACACGATAAAAAATGTTCTTAAATCGAGATAAAAAATGTTCTTAAATCGAGGAAACACGATAAAAAGTGTTCTTAAATCGAGGAAAAATAAGGTTCTTAATTAACCTGCAGATAATACAGGTGAAACATTTTAGATGAAAAACTCGATCCTTAGCTTTTCGGACCAGGTCCAGGGGACTCAATCCTAGTCCACAACCATCACATTTAGGTCCAAACTTTCTAGAATAATTTACATTTAGAACCAACCTTTCTAGAAAAAAAATATGTCTAAATTTTCTAGAATAATTCACATTAGGTCCGAACTTTCTAGACTAAATAACATTCAGGCCCTAACTTTCTAGAATAAATCACATTTAGATCCAAACTTTCTATAAAAAAAAATCATATTTAAATTTTCTAGAATAATTCACATTCAGGCCCAAACTTTCTAGAATACTTTATAATTAGGACGAAAAATTCTAGAATAAATCATATTTAGATCCGAACTTTCCAAAAGAAATGTTGTTTTGAACAAAACTTTTTAGAAAAAAATTCATATTTGAATTTTCTATAATAAATCACATTTAGGACAAAATTTTCTAAAATAAATTTCATTTAGGTCAAAACTTTCTAAAAATATTCACATTCAGGTCTGAAATTTCTAAAACTTAACATTTTTGTGACGCAACTTTCTAGAAAAATTTATATTTAGGTCCAAACTCTCTAGAATAATTTACATTTAGGACTCAACGTTCTAGAATAAATCACATTTGGGTCAAAACTTTCCAGAAAATTCACATGTTGGTCTAAAATTTCTAAAATAAATCACATCAATTTAGGTCAAACTATCTAGAACTAAAGACAAGTTCATTTAAATTTTGTCACTACGGCTAGGGTTAACTGTTAAGCCCTGCGGCTAAAACATATATTATAGCTTTTAAGCTGCAATTTCTAAACCTTGCAAAAATGCCTTTAGTGACTAACATTAGAACTTTACTCACTTCTAGAAAACAACTGGGGTATTTATTTTTACAAGGTAGAAGAGGGTGGGGGGGGGTAGGAGAGGTAAGG